GGAGATTACTTTTAATGTGAGAATATTATACTTGTTTTGTAAAGAGCACAATTGAAAGCATTCAATTTAAACAGGGAATCAATATCGTAACACTGCCCATAATTATTTCTCATAAGTTAAATACTCGCCCAGGCCACACCTTGGACCTATGATGCAGAACTAAGATCTTTGACATCAACCCAGCTGATCATGACCTAATAACACACATTTCCCATTCCTTGGCACTCCAGGGAATTTTTTTTTTAAATGACAAAGATGCCTTTTTATTTGCCGTAAAGGATAGAAGAAATTTTGCTTTTGGAGAATTTAAAACAAATAACAAGCTGATGTAGGAGTTTCAGTCTTTACAGACTCTTTGCCTACCTCCTAACTGACTCAGGCCCTAGGTTGTGTTGGTTTGCATGGGTGAATAGATAATGAAGGTAAGACCTCATCGTGAACTGCAGCCCTCAATATATATCACGACCTTTTCTTAAGACTTCCCAAACTTCCTAATTCAGTTAAGGGAAAGTTGCACATCCAATTCAGTAATTGAAAACATTAAGCCTTTTATAAGGTGCTCTCAAATGACTGGTACATGGGGTAGGATCATCAAACAGCCAAATCATTAGATGTCTTAAGTCATCCTCTATTCAGGTGGTCCATCAACCAATATCAATTAAGCCCTAGTGCAGAGTTCTAGGTGCCATGGAAGGTTTGTACCATCTAGTTGGAGATAAAAGTAAACCTAGGCATCATTTAACATTATTTTATGAAAAAGATAATAGAGATGCACTCAGAGAGATGTCTCAGGAGGCAATACCATCATTGTGTAAACATAATATACTTAAATGAAGGCCGCTATGATGCCAGTAGGCAATATAATCTTATGGGACTACCATCATATACGTGGTCTGTTGATGACCAAAAACATCATTATACATCTCACAACGGTAAAATTTTTAAAAATCAAAAAGTTAAGCCACAATGTGAAAGTTCCAAAAAGTATTCAAATATGTTCTCATCCCAGACTTAATTAATCAGAATCTCTAAGATGGGTCTCAGACATTTCTGAAGCCCAACAAGGTCCAGTGGTTTATGAACCACCAGAAACAACAGTAAAGATTGGGGATGAGTGGAAATGTGAGAAAACCAACTGTGGTCAACAGTGGGAGGGATGAAGGGAAGAGGAAAGGAAAATTTCTTAGAGAAATATAGTTGTCCACATTCTGCATTCTAGATTTTGACCCTCATCATTTATGTGCTAAAAAGCTTTCATATTTTATTCTTTCATAAATGCAGAAAATCAAGTAAGAGGAAATCTTTTTTTATCTAGAATAGATGCAGAGATGGAAGGTCTTGAACAATTTGTTTGCCAAAGATACAACCTCAAGTGAAGGAATATGATTTTCTACCAATTTTTTAAAGTGAACTTGGAAATGAACAAAAGCTTCTTTGTTTGGGGTTTGGGAGCATAGACATGTACTTGAGTATTCAACAAAAATCTTCACATACACAGAATACCCAGGCTAAAATTTCCCCTGGGTCTATCAGTGAAGATGGTAAGGAATTAGATTGAAATTGCCAAGTACACAGAAGATTTTATAAGCAAAGATTTCCAAACTTTATTTTTTAAAATTCTCAAAGATAGAAATAAAAAACCAACTTTCAGTTAAAATGGAAATATCAGCAGAGAAGTGAACAGCAGAAGAATGATACTTTCAAAAGAATTTTTTCCAAATGAATGGAGCTATTTACCCTGAAGAGCTAGAAAGAATAAAAGCCAAATATATAGTAACTTTAAGTATGTAAAATTTGTATCCTTTGACTTGTCCTTATCATAGGCAGAAAATAGGATTTACCAAAGAGAAAGAGAATTCAGCTGTAGGAAAAAAATAAGCTTCATAAAAATATATGAACAAAATTATTATAATCCAGATTATTGAATTGGCCTCCAGAGACCCAGCACTGAATCTTAGATAGTGATGTGCTAGTAAGTGTTTAATAAACTGAACTGCTCTTTGGGAGGGGAGAAAAAAAGCTCTGAGGTATAGCTTGTGTTGATTTCCATGGTGTAAATGCTTTCATCATGGCTGTTTTCAGGCTACCAACATGATGTCAGTGAATACAGAGCTGGGAAGAGATGCCCAGTAGCACACTATTATAAATATGATATTTAGTCATAAATGGCATTAGGAGCATAGATAATAGGAAAATGTAATAAAAATGACTAGGTATTGAGTTTTGAATATTCATTACCTTCCAAGAAATACAATGGACTTACATCTACATTGAAGGTTTAATAATGTCTTTGTTTAACAACTGACACCAAAATTTTTGAAATTTTAGCAATTGGCTCTCAAGAGCCATTATGAGGCCAGCTCTAGCACAGCATTGGGTTTAGTCACTGTTTCAAGTGGAGGAGAGTCACAGAAGCATAAGTTCTCAAAGCAACTTTCCTAAGTTATTCCCAAATATTTTCCCCTTGACTTTAATCAACAGTTAACATGACTGTTTGCTGTGAAGAAGGTTTTTAGTTTGATACCATCCCATTTATTGATTCTTGATGTTATTTCTTGGGCTTTAGGAGTCTTGCTGAGGAATTCAGTTCCTAAATTGACATGATAGAAAGTTGGGCCTATATTTTCTTCTAGTAGGTGCAGGGTCTCTGGTCTAATGCCTGGGTTCTTGAGTCACTTTGAGTTGAATTTTGTGCAGGGTGAGAGTTAAATTTCATTCTACTATCTATGGATTTCCAGTTTTCGCAGCACCATTTGTTGAAGAGGCTATATTTTCTCCAATGTATGTTAATAGCACCTTTGTCTTGTATGAGATAAGTGTATTTATGTGGATTTGTCTCTGTCTTCTATTCTGTTCCATTAGTCCTCATGTCTATTTTGGAGCCCATAGCTTGCCATTTTTATTATAGCTCTGTAGTATAATTTGAGGTCTGGCAGTGTGATTTCTCCTTCATTTTTTTTTTTTTTTGTACCGGGGATTGAACTCAGGGGCACTCAACCACTGAGCCACATCCCCAACCCTGTTTTTGTATTTTATTCAGAGACAGGGTCTCATTGAGTTGCTTATTACACATATACAGCACAATTTTTCATATCTCTGGTTGTATATAAAGTATGTTGATACCAATTCGTGTCTTCATACATGTACTATGGATAATGTCTATCACTTTCCACCATCTTGCTAACCCCCTGCCCCTCCCTTTCCTTCCCACCCCTCTGTCCTATCTAGAATTCATCTATTCCTCCCATGCTCCCCCTCCCTACTATAAGTCAGCCTCCTTATATCAGGGAAAACATTCAACATTTGTTTTGGGGGGATTGGCTAACTTCACTTAGCATTACCTTCTTCAGTGCCATCCATTTACCTGCAAATGCCATGATTTTGTTCTTTTTTATTGCTGAGTAAAATTCCATTGTATATATATGCCACATTTTGGTGAGGATGTGGAGAAAAAGGTACACTCATACACTGCTGGTGGGACTGCAAATTGGTGCAGCCAATATGGAAAGCAGTATGGAGATTCCTTGGAAATATGGGAATGGAACCACCATTTGACCCAGCTATCCCTCTCCTCGGTCTATATCCAAAAGACTTAAAAACAGCATACTAGAGGGACACAGCCATATCAATGTTTATAGCAGCACAATTCACAATAGCTAAACTGTGGAGCCAACCTAGATGTCCTTCAGTGGATGAATGGATAAAAGAAAAAAAAATGGATGCTTTTTCTATTTCTATGAAGAACATCTTTGGAATTTTAATAAGAATTACATTGAATCTGTATAGTACTTTTGGTAGTACGGCCATTTCGACCATATTAATTCTGTTTATCCAAGAACATGGGAGATATTTCCATCTTCTAAGGTCTTCTTTAATTTCTTTCTCTAGTGTTCTGTAGTTTTCATTGTAGAGGTCTTGACTGTATAACTTTTGCTAGTAAATGGATGGATCTGGAGGCTATCATGCTAAGTGAAATAAGCCAATCCCCAAAACCAAAGGCCAAATGTTCTCTCTGATGTGCAGATGTTAGCACACAATAAGGGGAGATAGGGCTGGGAAGAACAGAAGTACAGCAGATTAGACAAAGCGGAATAAAGGGAAGGAAGGCAGGGATGGGATATAGGAAAGACAGTGGAATTAATCGGAAATAACTTTCCTGTGATCATATATGAATACACCACCAGTGAAACTCCACATTATGTACAACCACAAGAAGGGGATCCTAATTAAATAAGTTATATTTTAAGTATGTATAAGATGTCAAATTCACTCTACTGTCATGTATTAAATATTAAAAATAAATAAAAATTAATATAAGAAAATTAAACAAAGAGAACTTTTGGAAACAGTCTATCAGAAACATTGTATGCTTGTAGGTCAGTGGTTCTTAACTGTGGCAATTTTGCTCCTGGGGGGACATTGGGGAATAACTAGAAGCATTTTTGATTTTCACACTGGGGCATCTGGTAGCAAGGCATGCATTGAAGCTGAGAAACCTGGCTCTGGGTCTTCAGTACAAAGTGACATGCAATACATTTCTTATGAACTAAGTACACGATATTATCCTCTGTCAGATAACAAGAATTTTGTAACTCATCGTGTCTGCCCTTTATACTTTACTGGCAGTAACTATATTAATCCTTGTGCATTTTTTAGGACCCTGATTTTCTGCTTCATATTAATCTTATATATAAGTCTTTAATTAATAAGATAAATTATCTTTAAAAATAGAAAGGGCATGAATTGTATATATATGCCATATATACATACATGTATATATGTAAACACCAATGGTCCATTGGGTGTTTGTATGGATGAATGGATGGATGAATGTTTGAATGGATTTTTGGATGGATGGATAGATATATGAATGGATGGATGGGTGAATGGAAGGAAGGGGAAAAACAGTAAAAAAGACACTGAAAACAATTAAGTGGCTACCAACAGAACTTTTAAATGCTTTATAGGAAATACACTTAAATAAATATTTTTACTTTCAGAGAAAAAATGATCCCTATGCTCTTGCATCCATGGTGTCCTTTGAAGTTAAGAAGATGCCTTATAAAGATCAGCCAGCTAAACTCCCAGAAGGAAGCATAGCAGTGAGTATCATTCAAAAATACATGGGCACAAATAACATCATTAAAGTCATTTTTAATCACTGTCTAGGATGTGCTTGGTTTACATGTTTACATTGAACTGAGAAAAGTTTCCCATTTTTACTTCACCATTTTTTATTTCAGTCTGGAAATTTCCTAGTGCCTTTTGATCTGGTTTTTAAACTTCCAATATAAATTTCTACCTAAAAGAAAATTGCAGTGTCTTACTAATAGTATTCATTATTTATTAATCAATCCATTTTGTTTCAGAGAAATTCAGATAGCAATGATCATCATAATGAAATTGTACTTAGTCTTTAGTTGTAATGGTAGCAAGATGAGTCCCCTTGGGGAGGGAAGAAACCCTTCCTTAGGGCAAGTTAGTCATGGACTGGCGGCTGCATGGCTTTAAAAGTCATTACTTCCTCTCTGTGCAAAGAACCATGATTATGTCCTGGAAAGAAAAAAAAAAACAAAACAAGAGTACACAATGAATGAAATTTCTTTTTTTTAATTGGGTTTATTAAACATCACTGACACCCAAAATCTGTCACAGAACAACTTCTGACATGCTCAGCAATGTTGCAAGGGCTATACAGAGGGATGAAGGTATGGGTGATAGGAGACCAGCAGCCACCATTACCAAAACTGTGCCATTCAAGTTGTGAAGATGTCAGAAACCTCTGAAAAACAAACTGCTCTGAAATACAGTATTAAGATTTCAGCTTTCATCTCTTGATTATTTCATGGATATTTACAACCCCCAGATTGAACTCTTTGTTATACAAAGTGTGGTTGGCAGGCTGGAGCCTTGGCATCACCTGGGAGATGATTAGAAATACAGGAACTAGCCTCACTCCAGACCTGCTGAGTCCCAATCTGCATTTTATCATAATCATCAGTGGATCCATAAATACACTCAAGTTTGAGAAGCACTACGTTAGATGGTGTATAAGTTGGTCCTATTGATATTTCTTTCTAGCTGGGTCTTTATTTATTACTTCATTGCAATAGTTAATCTTTATCACCTAGTCTACTTTCAACAATTTAAATTAAACTGATCCATTGGTCAATGATCCAACTTTGACCAATGGATTAATGAAACAAAATCATCACTCATGCAGCTTTAAAAATGCATAAATATATATGGGCTAAGATTTCATCCAACATATCTGGACTAAGTAGACCTGAGGTGGGGTCCTGGTGCTGTGCTTTAAAAGCCTTACAAGTAAAATTGATCAAATTGTGTTCTACGCTTGTATGAATATTTCACAATGAATCCCACTGTTGTGTGTAATTAATATGCACCAATAAAAGAATTTTTAAAAGCCTTACAAGTGCAAATTGTGTAGTGGAGCCAGAGTTAAGAACTTAAGCACAAGCAGTTCAGATCACCTAGAAGAAAGCCTAAGGCTTGCAAGATAGAGTCATCCAGATTTGATCCTGGCTCTGCCTTGCTCCAATTAGGAAAACTTCGGGAAGTCACTTAACTTCCCTAACGCTGTTAACATCACCCACATGTTGGCATTATGAAGGCAATTTTTAAAATTATGTACATAAAGCTCTGATATTTTACCTGGAACAGGTAAATCTCAAGTCTCAATCAATGCTTCTAACATTCCTCAATGTCTTACTTTCTCAGTAAGCCCACATTAATGATAATCAAGATTTGCACAAAGTATTTTGAAGCCAGCATGGCCACATCTTTCTTTGTTTAGATCACCTCTCTTTTTCTCATGAGATATCTGCTAAAGCTTAGATTTATGTTCAACCCCAGAAAACAGAGGCTTTGGGCTTTTAATATAGAATGTTCATCCAAAGAGGTTCAAAGGCTTATTGCTTGAAGGGAGATAAATCCAATCCCTTTTGTTTTCTCTGAGCACGTGTTCCATAACAGAAACACATGTTACAGTTGATTCCATCAACAGAATTGCATCTTTCTGTGCTGGCCACAGGTGATGGCCTGATGTTCTCAACTCATCTCAAAAGATCCATGAAATGATCAAATGCATGCTTCCCCCAACCCGTCTCCAGTTACCATATTGCAAAGAAATAAAAGACTTATTATTTTATACAGATGATTTACCACACCATTTAGGTAAAGGTTATTGAAAAAACATTTAAGAATGGAAGAGCTTTCAAGTCTCCCAATATCAAACTGGAGATTTTGCCAGTACAGAATTAGCTGTGTAATACAGGCAAATAGTTTTTTCCATGAATTGAGTTGAGAGAAGAACTCTGGTTGGGGCTGGCAGACAATTTTTGCATCAACATCTTTTCAAAGATCTTGTTGTTGTCTCAAAAAAAAAAAATACCAGCAGAAGAGAATTGCTGTAAGGTAGTAAAATCCATTGGAATGGGTAGTTTTAGAATCATCAGAGTTCCAATCAGCCACTGGGAAAAGACTGTAATGAGACTAAATAATTTGTTCTCATTTTCCCAGACATTTGTGCAGTATAATTAGTTTGTACATCTTTCCAACATGGTCCTAATTCAGCCATTTCTTGAGCCTATGTATGCTTTACATATAGAAGAAAATAGCAATTTTTCATCTTCTATTTGCATAATATCTGCGTTTATAACAAATGATGCCTTCATGCAGTGTGACATGTGTCCTGTTCACAGGTGAGACAAAGGTTGTATAAGTCAAAGGGAATGAGAGAACACTGAATCATTATAGCACAACAGAATAAAGATTACTATACTTTATTACTGAACATTATTACTGAACACTATTTTGGTTTACCAATGTTATGGTTTGACTATGAGGTGTCCCCCAAAAGCTCCTGTGTTAATGCATGAATGTTCAGAGGTGAGGTGATTAGATTATGAAAGCAGTACCCTAATCAGTTCACTCTAGTTTGAATAGACTAATTGGGCAGTAACTGTGGGCAGGAGGGGTGTGGTTGGAGAAGGTGGGTCACTGGGAATGTGCCCTGGAAGCTTCCATCCTTCCTATGGTTCCTTTGTGCCTCTCTCTTCTTCCTGTCTGCCATGAGTGGAGTAATTTCCCTCTACCATGCCCTTCTGCCATTATGTTCTGCCTTGCCTTGGGCTTGCAGCAATGTAGTTGGCCCACCAAGGACCAAACCTTGAAACTACGAGCCAAAATAAATTTTCCCTCCTCTAAGTTGTTCCTATCAGGTATGTTGGTCAAAGAGATTCAAGTCTGACTAAGACCCCAGTGAACCTTGACATGTGCATGCCATGTCACTAATGCCCAATTCTATAATTTACATCTGGAAAAAGTATTTGTAGTGTAATTCCAAAGGGACTCATTATCAAATATTTTGTAAAAAATCTTATTTCAAAATTCATATGTAAACTTCAGATCCATTTGATTTTAAGAACTGTTAGCAAAATTTCAACACCTGACAGTAGAATCCTAATATTAAATAATTGGTGTATAGATTTATGGCAGTGACTACTTACCTTATAGGAGCAATTTAAATGCTGAAAATGAGGTCAGATCCACTTGGTGTTATTATTTTGTTCTAAATGGCACTGTAGGTAGGGTGGGTTGGTACATTTATTTAAAACATTCTTCTGACCCCACCAAAGTATGTATATACAAGATTTTATGATATATAAATACAGATGTCAACATTAATTACATTTGCAAATACAAGGAGTTTTTTTCTTCTATCTTGGTATTTTTTGTAAAAATATACAAAAACATATCATAAATGTCTATGATAAAATGTAGATATTAAAAATTTATTTGTGGTCTTTCAACCATATTAAAAAATAAGATTTATGACTTGATGAAGGTAAGATTAAATTTTTCCTATTTAAGATCACTTTAAGAAAATCCAAACCACTTATAATTTATGGATTCCACTTCCTAAACTTGCAGATAATAAGTGAATTGTTAAAATTGAATGCTATACTTTAAGTAACTACAAGTGGTCCAGTGTAGAAACTGCCAGTCAGAGGTGGATATTGAGTTCCTGATATGTGGCCAGTGGGACTGAAGAACTGAACTTGTAGCTTGATTTCACTTATACTCATTTAGATGTAAAATGAAAAACTTGAGCAAAATGAACTACTTCTTCCATTAAACATTGCTTCTTTTTTTTAGGACTATATTTCCCTTTAATCATTGAAAATTTAGCCATTGTTATGTGTTACTGGTGTATAGTGCACACTGGATTCAGAGACATTTAAAAAAAATAAAAAGAGTGTTAGATATCTTTTAAAATGTTTCTACCAATTACATATTTAAATAATAATAAGTTTATCAATAATAGATAATAGTTAATACTTAGGGTTAAAATATTTTAAAGTTAATGTCCCCTATTTCTTTTCACCCTGGTGTGGCTACTAGAAAATTGTAAATTATACATGTGGCTCATTAGGTGGAAGCTATAGCCAAAAATAATACAGAGCTTCAGAGAACAGAGTGTTTAATAAATAATGTTTCAAACCAATGAAAGAGTCTTACTGTAAATCGTTGCTTAGTCATTAGAAGCCCTAAAAATCTTCTGTTTATTATCTAGTGGATCCTTCAGTCCAAGATTCTTGTGGGCTTGTCAAGATGAGCTGTAAGACAAATATAAATATTAGAAATTACAAAGTTTGGGTATTTGTCAACATTTTACTTCCTGGCTCAAGCTTCCCCCAAATTAGCCTGCAATTCCATAGTCCTGGCACATATTTAAATAAACCGTGGTCCTATAAAAGTGATCGATTCAATTCCTTCCTTTTAAGCTCACTAGCAGTTTAAGTCTAGTTTATTGACACAGTATTGAGTTTCAGTAAAAGCTATGTTTTGCTGGTTTCCACATGCAGGTGAAATACCCCCTTGCCATTGGCAGATTTACAGACATGAATGTCACGGAACTCCCTAGTCACTATCCTCCCAGAAGGATCTCTCTTTCCAAGATGTGTGTGTATGTGACTTTTGTAATTACACATTACATTTGGCTCTTCCCAGGGACAGAGCCTCCACATTGCAAGTCTGCAGAACTGCTCTGGGCCACTGTTGTTGATTTTCTGGATTTGCACTGCCTTTGGTGTAGTGACTTTATGAATATGCACCAAAAAGCCAAGAGAGGGCTGGGGCTGTAGCTCAGTGGCAGAGCACTTGCCTACCTAGCATGTATGAGGCACTGGGTTCAATCTTAGCAGCATATAAAAATAAACAAATAAAATAATGGCATTCTGTCCATCTACAACTAAAAAAAAAAAAAAAAAAAAAGCCGAAAGTAAGTTTAGGCAGACACCAAGATGAAGGAGGTCTCTACAGTTGCATCCACCTGTAGACTGTGATTGGGCCATCTCATTGCCAATTGGATGTCAGATAGGCAGAGAATGAGGAAAGAAGAATGCTGGCACAGAGAGACCCCCCTCCCCCCAAGCTTGTCTTTGAATACTGTGTGTACCATTCCCCTGATGAACTGCACAGGAATACATGTAGGCAATGTATAGACATGCTTCATCCTAACACTTGAGAGAACTCAGAGAAAAGGTATAAAGCGGTACTTTTTAAATGAACTTAATGTTACTGGAAGCAGAATGGCAACTGTTTTGATAATGAGAATTTCAGATTTTGGAACTGAAAGGGAATTTCAAAATTTTGGATCACAGCATGGTGACCATTTCCTCACAGACTCTCTTAGGCCCTGCTGTCCAAATTTTGGGAAGTAAAAGTAAGCAAAAAGCCAGCAGGTTTTATAACTATCCCCATAAAGTAGTACCCTGCTTCAAGGGACTCTATTAAACATATCTTGATCTATTTCATGTTTTATTTGTACATTTTCATCACTATAGCAAAATAACCCTTCAGATGTCTTTATTAGCTCTTTCTAAGTGAACTTCCCTGCCTCTTTCTACAGATAGACCAGTTTTATAGACAATGCATCAAAGCCTGCTCTAGCCAAGTGGCAGAGGCACCTGGCATTCCATAACATTCCCTACTGTTAGATGAACAATGTGAAGAGTCTATGCTCCCTATTTCACCTCCTTCAAAATTTCTTTAACTTACAAAACTAGGATTGCTTCCTAAGTTTACCATGAAATAGTAGGAGATGACTTAAGATATTAATTAGGTGAATCAGGAAACTGAAGATTCAGAAGCATCTGTTGCTTTTCGTACCATGAATTTCCCTGTTAACAAATCTGGCTCTTTTAACAATTTCCCTGTTAGCAAACTTGGCAAGCTCCAACACAGGCAAACAACAACAACAACAATGAAAAAAAAAAAGTTTTCTTGGTGGACTAGCGCTTAGGGAGAAAAAAAAAAAAAACTTTTATTTTAAAAAATTACCAGAATTGTCCTTGGCTCCAGATTTCTCTCTCCTGGGTCATTGTAACTGGACTCTGAGCAGATGATCACTACTGTTCCTTTTTTTTACTAAATTCTGAAATTCTCATTACCAAAACTGTGTCAGTTTGCTTCCAGTAAAATTATGTTGAAATACTACTTCATGCCCTTTTCCAGAGTACTGAAAATGTTAGGATTAAGCAGTGCTTTCATGTGTATCATCAGATGTAACTAACCAAGGCAAAGGAACATAAAGAGAAATCATATAGATTCTGATATGCTCATGTAGTCACATATACACAAAGGATCATCTTAAAATAAATTACCCGAGCTGTAGAATCCAAGTAGCATTGCAACCATTTGGGGTACTTAAAATGCTTTTCTCCAATATGTGAACCATGTGTCTCATCCTTGAACAGTGGCAAGCAGGCAGTCATGATGCCATCATTGGGATGGAATGTCACCCTTTCTTATTGATGAAATGGGGAAAATGCTAACAAGGAACATTAACAGGCAAAGGGAGAAAGTGTAGTGGTGAGTAGATTAAGGGCAGCCTTTTTCTTATTTAGAAGGACTATCAAGTCTCTGGCACTGCTGTCAATGTTGAGTGACTACTAATTCTCACTATTCTGTGGATTCCATTGTTTAATCTGGATAAAAATGATACCCAGGGCTGTAGAATCAGTGAATTGGGGCATCACCATGTCTGCAGTATAGGGGAAGTGAACTGAAAGGGGATGAGCAATTAAAAAACCAGGACAAACTGAGAAGACCATCAGCCAGGTGCCCACATCTAGTTAAGAAGACAGAACAGAAGAGGGAGCATGGTTAGGACCCACTACTTGGGTTCAGGCTATGAAAATATCCAGACATTTCCTGCCAGGGCAAGTTCCAGAGCTACCAACCTTAGTCATGATTTTATCCTCTCCTGATGAGTGGGTTGTAGAATTGTGGTCTAGAGTTCTTGGGCATGTTTCAGGATTGGAATCATGATTCTTTCAACTAGCACACTTAAAACTAGGAACACAGGGCTGGGGATGTGGCTCAAGCCATAGCGTACTCGCCTGGCATGCGCGGGCGCTGGGTTCAATCCTCAGCACCACATAAAAATAAAATAAAGATGTTGTGTCCACCGAAAACTAAAAAATAAATATTAAAAAAAATTCTCTCTCTCTCTCTAAAAAAAACAAACAAACAAACAAAAAAAACTAGGAACACACAGACCATTAGTGAAAGCCATGCTTACTCTCTGTTAAAACCTGGCATGCCTGTATTGGTGAGTAACATTTGAGTCCAGTAATTTTTATTTTCTTTCCCAAAAGGTTTTAGTAGCATGGCCAGGTCTCTCCTGGCTTTTTCTGGGGGCAGGGAGCAGTCTGCAGCTTCCTTGCACAGACTCCCAGCACACAAGCAATAGAAGTGCTTCTTACGTCCACTCCGGGAGGCAAGGATGGGTCATAGGTGTGAAGCATGCCATCCAGCTAGAAAGGTCTCATTTTCCTCCAACCTCCTTCACAACAGTGGGGAATGAAATGGGATCCAATCTCCAGATGCTTATTTCAATTCTGCACCCCAAAATTGGATTTAGCATTGAAGGGGGCTCTAACACATCAAGATGACATTTACTTTGCTCACTGCCATGTCAACCTAAATAACATCAGAGATTCTCCAAAGGACAATGGTATTTACTTGAGAATAGAACAGCAGTGCAATGGAAATGTGCATGCTGTAGTAAACAGTAAGTGTACTTAAATAGGTTGCAGCAAGGCAAAATGTTTAAAGGCAAAAACAAGGAGGATTGTATAAAATAGGGTGAAATAATAATCCTGAACCACAGAGTCTTTAAATAAGATAGAAGAAAACAATTTTACAAAGCTGTTTGGCCGGCAAGTATCTGTTCAATTTTAGACTGGCATCCCCTTTATTATTAAATAAATTAAGCTGAAAGGGGTTCAGCAGGTGTTCAAATCTAGTTAGAAATCATCAAGAAGGTTAGAATTCATCTAATCTAATCTGATCATTTTACAGATGATACAATTGAGTCCCAGAAAAACTAAGCAATTTCCACCACTAACAATTGCCAGTCGTAGGATTCTTTAGAAAATTCTGTGCTCTATCAGTGAAAGAGACCCCAGTGCTTGAAACCCAATTTAAAGTTCTTTCTTTCCACCTTGTTGATTCCTGGTCTGCCGCAACACACGACTAAATTAGTCAGGGTCACTCCAGGTGAATTGGGCTGGCTACTAAATAATCACAGGCACAGAAAGTAATGTGAGGAGCAATGGCTCCTTAGCCCCAGCTCCCACAAGGGAAGCAAGAGGGGCAGATGAAAGAGAGAGAGCACGCCTGAAACCATTCTACTTATTGAGGAGAGCTGTTCCATAGAACATTCCATCCAGAAAAGGTAAGGGGTAGTATTCCATAGGAACAAGAAGGCAGCCCACTCCATTGAGTAATGCCCACTCCCAAAGCCTCACTCTCCTGCTGAGTGGAGATCAGGAAGCTTTCTGACCAGGAAGCCTTCTGACCAGGAAGCCAGACTCCACATTTCCATCGCTCAAAGCTAGGGGGCGCTCAGCTCCTATATGGCAGCTCCCAACACTGGACCACTTCTCCAATCTAGCCCCGATGCCAGTGATAAGTCAACCGATCATGAAGCATCTGTCATTAAGACTTTCACCCCTTATGCCCACACCTGGATATGCTTGTTTTTTCCAGTCCATGTTCAAATGCTTAGCCTCACAAATCTCTCCTTAAACGACTTTCAATTATTTTATGGATCTGTTAAGAACTCTCCACAGTGTTATATGGGCAATTGCCACCTTATTTCACCAAAACACTTTTTCAAATTAAAACTCAAAGCTCATTTGCTTTATTTTCATTTCAGATTAAGACCTCAGTTATTTGGGCAACCCCAAATGTATCCTTCTCCGTCCCACTGTGGGTCATAATACTAGCAATACTTCTTGGATTGTTGGTTCTGGCCATTTTAACTTTAGCTTTATGGAAGGTAAGTTGATTTCCTTTATTTTTACTTTTGAACTGCAGAAGTCACTCTGCAGATATTGATAGAAAGATATTATTAGGGATTTTAAAAGATAATGCTAAAGGCATCACTTAGAGGTTTTGAAAGATCTAAAGGATATAAAGGGAAAATTGTGTTTTATTTGCTTTGACATACTTGATATGTTTGTGTGGCTCATATTTAAGAAAAAAAAGGGGGTATTTGTTGTTGTTTTTATCTTGAGATTTCTTGTGAATAAAAATATAGAAACTTAGGCTTTATTAACTAGGTAGGACCTGTGATCTTCTGTCCAATATTCTTGGAGTGATAATGTTATTATGAAATTTCATTGACCAAAATCTTAAGCTTCTTGACATTGTACTACCAGTAATCCTTTGAGGTTTTTCTTTCTAAGCACTGCACTGATGCAATTAAAATGTCAGTTCTAATTTTTATTTTGATTATTAATTAATCCAAATGGATCATGCATATCATAAGGTGCTTGAACTTGTTTTTTAATCTTGCCAATTAATCTGTCTTTATTGGGAATCCCTAACTTAGTCTGTGGGAGGTTTATTCTAAAAGTCTGCAATGGGAGCTAAATGCTGGCCCCAAAACATGTACTACTGCCAAGTTGTACAGAGCTTTCCATTCCAAAAGAGAAACAATGCCATGATTACATGACTATAAGCTAATTCAGTCACATCTCTGTTAATCACTATTGTTGTGGTTCCCTAAAAAACATTGTGTATTTTTATTTTGAAACAATATGCAGCATGCTTAACAGACCCATAAACTGATAAAGCCTTGGCTTCCAGTTAAAGAATAGTTTTTCTAATCATCATCACCTATTTTGTGCCATCCTGAGCCCACATAGTCGATGGAACATATTTAGGAATGACTTCTGTGTTATTCTGCTATTTTTATAACTTTATTTCCAATAAACATAAGTACAGTTCAAAGCACCAAATGACAGAGCATTCCACTAGCAATACAAAAAAGCCCATGTTGGGCTTCCAATATGAGAAACAATAAATAAGAATTGAGGTTCCAGATTCCTAGGAAAAGATACACCCTCCTTGGTGAAATTCAAGAGAAAGAAGATTCTAGAATCATCTCTTCCCAAGTTAATCTATGTAAAGTCACTAAAATGCCTAAATAACAAATCAGCTCTCCCTCTATGTACTGCATGTCCCACCCAGTGCAGAGGGATATGTGGCACACTTCTTCCTTTAATCCACCCCGTGGCCACTTACAGAATTCTTCAGGAGACAATATCCCTTTTCTGGTCAATAGTTATCACTGTTGCTGACTCAGCAAAGATGCAGAAAAGCACATAGGGCATCCTTGGGACACACTGCTGTAATCCCAGGAGAATATCCAACAATCATGAGTGGTTGGTATAAAACAAGTACTTTCTACCACTACTACCCAAACACTCTGCCCTCCTGCTTACCTTGGCCCATGCCATAAATTCTCTCCAGGTAAACAACATGCTACCTTCTCCTCTTAATTTGGAGAACTGGGCAGGTTATATTCACACAGCTCCAAGTTCCTTAGGAAATACATAAAGTGAAAATTCTTCAAACGAGGGAACTCCACAGTTCAAATGAGGAACTCCAAATGGCTTGATTTCATACCCTGTTTTTCTTTTCTTTTTTTTTTTTTGTTTTTGTTTTTGTTTTCTTTTTTATAATTTTTTTATTCTTGGTTGTTCAAAACATTACAAATTTCTTGATATATCATCTTTCACACTTTGATTCAAGTGGGTTATGAGCTCCCATTTTTACCCCATATACAGATTGCAGAATCACATCAGTTACACATCCATTGATTTACATATTGCCATACTAGTGTCTGTTGTATTCTGCTGCCTTTCCTATCCTCTACTATCCCCCCTCCCCTCCCCTCCCCTCCCCTCTTCTCTCTCTACCCCCTCTCCTGTCATTCATTTTTCCCCCGTTTTTCTTTTCGTAGTGCGGGTTCTTTGACAGAGCAAGACCTCCTCAGGATGATATGGCTGACAGAGAACAGCTGACCAGTGACAAAACTCCTGAGGCGTGACAAGGAAAAGCAATGACCAAAAACCCAAACACTGATTCTGTTCAAAGAAAAGAAAGGACATAAGGGCTAAATAAAGGCTTTCCTGTACCTGCCAGTGACCTAGGAAATGAAGGGCCCCTGAGTTTATCACCTCATCTACTCCACACTTTAGGAAAGTTTCCATAGAGCCCAGAAAACCTTCTGGAACAAGGAGATGCCAACACTGTAGAAGCAATCAGCATCATGGAAGATTTCTTTTGCTTTCCTCATTCCATATTTGACAGACATTTTGAAATGGATGAAATGGGAATGAGAATTCAAGTTGCTGTCCAGGTCAATCCAACTTGAGTTGCAAAGTCGAAATGTCAGAATCACTATAGAATTGGGATGAACTAAGACTGAACCGTCCAACACTGCTGTATCCAATGGAATATCTGACATCTCCCTATGGAAAAGAAACATTTTGAATGAAGTGATGGCTCAGGGAGATAAGCAATATGTTGTCGGTACTGTGAAAGTACTTTTGAAATGACAAAGATCATTCTGTAAGCGAGGAGAAATTTTTATTTATTTATTTTCCATTTCTCTAGGTTGAGATTCTGGTTGTCTAGAGGATTTGGAAATTAAGATTTGGTTAGCTAGTTTTCTGAATCGCTCACCTCTTTTCTTCCTATGATCACCACTCTGTGCAGTAACAATAACAGAGCTACTTCAGAATTTAGACCATATTAAGAAAAAGCAAATTGACATTAGAAGTTTGTTTTATTTAATATTTTCCTGCCTCATACCAGAAATCACTATTATTCACACTCTCTGAAACTCACAGCTGCTTCATTTAGCCTAACAAAAATGTTGCATTTTTATTTCCTTTCATATATATATGTTTTTTTAAAAAAATATTTCCACTCACTTAGTTAATACATGATTTTCAAGGTACTCATCACACTATGTGGTGTTTTAAAGTAATGGTAAAATTTCTAGAGTCCATTAATAAAAAAGAAATTTAATTAAATATGGATAAACTTAATTTTTAATAGCTATAACAGGCAACACCAATATTTATCTTGGGATTAAATACCTGTTTTCCCTGCTATACTTCATACTTGTATACACAGAGAAAACATGTTGAAGATAAATAGGATGGAAATATATAAATTATATAGATGTGAGACAAACATAGAAAACTAATTCCTAAAGATTTTATTTAAAGTTGCTTATTCCAACTTTATCATTCATTTTTTGCTAATCTTTATAGTCTATAATCTTGGAGGATAATCTTTTATTTAAGCTATTTTCCCATCATCTTTAATTTAACCATCAATACTTTTGTTTAAAACACTTGTAAATAATCCATAATCATGTGTAATATTATCATTTTGAAATAAGATTGGCCGGCCAAATTCATAGTCTGCACAATTTTGTATACTTTTTTGTATACTTTTTATAATAATGGGAAATTACTATGAAGAAATGCTGAACAAATTTTTATGTGCAATACTTTATAGACCTATGTATCTAAGGCATGTTTACACTGGCATTAGTTTTTTTAATTAATATCCTGAATATTAAGTATGATAGAACAAGCTGACTATAATCCTCAAGTTTACAAAGCAGTTGGAAAAAATTGTGTCCCAATTTCAACAATCACACTTTATTTGAAAAATGAGCCAAACTCACAGACACTAAATTTTATGTTGTGCATTAACCTGGAGAGAAGCCATTTGGCTACAGCTGCAGAACCTCATTGGAAAGCAGACGAAAGGCACATGGAAAAACATATTGTTGCAGTTCATCTTCTTTTTGCTTGTGAATTAAATCCTGTCCTGGTAGCTATTTCATGTCTGTCAGGAGCTGAAGCCAAGCTCTCAGTCTGTGCGGCTGATGGTAAAGAAGCATGATGCTTGCCTCAGAGAGTTGGAGAATCCCACACCAGCCTCTGGGGGTCTTTGGTGTTCAATCTTTAGGTAGAACTGGTTTTACAGATTGTTGACCATCTGTCATCTATAAGATGTGACCTAAGGGAAGCCAGGCAACTCTCTCTCCCCCAGATAATGGCCTGACTTTTGTCGAATCTGACATGTGACCAACAAAAATTAGCCTTGGGATTTTTGGTCATAGGAGAGTTCCTGAATACTGCACCCTTTGCCTTCAAGAAACTTAGATCCAAACATAGGGAACTGCATAGATAGTTCATGCAGACACCTGAGGAAACTAGAGATGCCCGGAATGGGACCCAGATCAGAGTAAGGCATGAGAACTTCAAGGGCCAACCATAGCTTCTACAGTCACAGCCGGGAGGACACTGCTGCCAGTAGGCACTGTGGGGGAGCATCCTATGCACAAAGTCCCTCAGAACGTGGAAGCAAATGGAGGGAGGGAGGAGAGTAAGGTCAGGTGAGCCTTCCAGTCATGGGTTCTTTGGCACTCCCTCTGCATGGAGAGCACCCTGGCTGCACTGAGGAGATAATGCTTACAGCTTTGCCTGTTTCTTTCCTAAGTCCCAATGCACTGTGTTCCTCTTAGAACCTATCTGTATTTCTCTTCAAAGAATACTCTTTTCCAATTTCTTGCAGCTGGTTTTTAAGATATGGGAAAATGGCCAAATTAAGTTTTATAAACTTGGAGATTTTTTATGCAGTAAATGAATAACAAGTACTAGTTACCACTGAAACCCCACTCTTAAAACTTAAATCTTGTTTTATTTAAATACATTTGTAGATATCTGTGAAGAATTTTCAGGTACCTAATTTACCTTGTTGTTAATAAAATTGAAATTAAAGACATGATGGAATATTTGTGTTTCATTTTATGCACAACATACAGCTTTGCTATAATAGCCAGAAATAAAAAAAAATCATTCTTATACCTTTATTCTTTTAAAATCTTTTAACATTGGAAGAAATTTAAAGCCAAACTACATGCTCCTTGGGATGATAAAGTTTCTACTTAGATTGTGGACATGGTTGTTCAACTCTGTGAGTATATAAAAATTATTGAATTGTACACTTTAAGTGGGTAAATTTATGCTGTGTGAATTATATCTGAATAAAGAGGTTAAATATTTTTAAGTCACTCCTAATATTTCCACCCTTAAACAACTGATTTCTTTACATTGCCTTTTAAATTTTGTCCACATGCACATCTTAGCTCCTTTTTCTTCTTATTTCCCTTGTATCTTTGGTCAACATCATTTCTTCTCCTATCCTCCAATAGCATTTTGTAAATGACTTCACCTTTCCATCTGTTTACATGACCATATTCCAGCTGAACTAACCCTCAATGAAGCAGAAGTTATATCTTTTCATCTGTGTTTTGTAAACCAAGCAACAACACCTACTATATAAACGATGCTCAAAAATTCTCCTAGAATAAATGAATTAATGTACATGTGTGCATAGTAATAATCATGGTGACCATGCATTTTGAAATCCACTTATATGACTAAGCACCAGAGTACACACAAATTGTATACATCCTCCTGTTTACAAGGCCCATACAATGCTATTACCAGTTGAGCATCTTTAATCCAGATATCTCAAATCTGAAATGCTCCAAAATCCAAAACCTTTTGAGCAGTGACACGATGCCACAAGTGGAAAATTCCACACCTGACTTCATGCAATGTGTCACAGTCAAAACACAGGTGAACTAAAAGTATTGTATAAAATTGCCTTCAGGCTCCGTGTATAAGCGTATATGAAACATAAATGAATTTCATGTTCAGACAGGTCTCACCCCCAAGATCTCTCATCATGTATGTATGAATATTCCAAAATCCAAAATATTTCTGGTGACAAGCATCTTGGATAAGAGATGATTGACTCGTATAATAATTTCCCAATGTTCTATTCAACTAGCAAACCACATTTATTTAACCATCTCCCTCTTTGGGGGAATAACTGTTCACAGCTTTATACATTAAGAATAGCATCAAACTGAATACTATCATATGTGGGGCTTTCTTTTTTTATTCCACTGAATGAAGTTTCAAGGAGGGGAGTGCTTGGTGAAAGTATATAAAGATGTTTATAGCTCCTGATCACATGTTGCTCTTAAGAAGACTGCATCAATTTGCATCAACTTAAACACACCATTTTCTTCACAATTCTGTCATCATTATTTAAATAGTTTGGTGATAGTTTCTGGATTTTATTTTTATTTATATTTCACTAAAATTCAGTGAATTTAATGCACATGTCTAATATTGAATTCTGATATATATCAGCCACTCTATACAACCAATTTATTGGCCACATATCACGAGACATTTATATACTCACTGACATTCTGAATCCCAACAAGAACCTACTTCTGAGTACTTTCCCTGTAGCTCAGAGCAAGCAGTTGGATGAATCCTTCACTTCATATGGTATGTCACATGCCCTTCAAAACCTAGATATATCTAAAAGCTGATGGTGGTCCAGAAGTACTTGTTTATCTAGGAGGAAGATATGCTAAACCAAATGTGAGAAAGGGAATATGAGTGCCAAAGATCAAGATGGAAGCCCCCAACCCAGTAAAAACTAGTCTCTTCAGGGTTAGACTTGCCTGAGGCACACACAGAAGGATCCATCCTGAGTCAGCCCCACTGACAAAAGCCTGCACATATTCACGGTGAGCAAGAAGAGGAACTCTTTTTCATGATAGTAAAATACTTTGTACATATAAGGTGGAAACTTTGCCATCTCAACAAATTCTATTGATATCTTTGCTACTTTCCTCCATTTTATGTGTGAACACTTTACTGCACTAATACCTTCTAAACATTGAGTTGGGATTTGGTTTCCTAGACAGGGAAAAATGAGAAAAGGCTTACTCCTCACAGAATTCTCTGGCAAGGTAGAATTCCCTTACAAGTTGCACACTTCCTCTGTGAAATTTACCACATCCATTCAGTTTAACCCTATGGAAAGATCTCTCTGGTGCCCTCAGGAATAAACATGAAAACCTTGGTCTGACATCCATGAATGCTAAGACAGTGACTCTCTAGAGTCTAACATTCTTTTTCCAAAACAGAAGATATTGATTTCTTTAGCATGAGGATTTTAAAACATCTAAAATTTAGGCTCATTTGAGAGCTCAGTAAAACCCTAATTCCCTGGGCAATGCTTAGTTCAGTGGTGACTTCAGAATGGCCAGTGTACATAAGGTACAACTTGGCTTGCCATTTTTAAATTTCTCCACCCCACCCGCAAAATACCATCTGCCTGACACACTGCCTTTGAAATTGTTTATGAGCAAGTTCTCTGTTATTTATGATTGTTGGACAAAATCCATATGGAAATGTAGCCTGATACTAAGGCCTCTTGACAATAAAAAGTCTTGAATTTAACTTCTGTTGGCGCCATGATATGACACAGTAGGAATGTTCTTAATATCTCCATGCCGTAGCTTATTTTGATTGTGCGTTGTGTTATAGAAACAATCAGGTCATCAACAAATTATTCTGCTATCCAACTGTTAGGTGGAATTCTTTTTTAAGTAGTAACAGTGGACCTCCCTCATTTCAAAGTTTTAGATTTCAAACCTTTTATTCACTTAATTGACTGTAGGGTACAGACATATTTACAACTTTTATTTCCTCAAGGATTTTTAATTTAAAAAAAAAACTCCATATTTTTCCTCTGTTTTGGTTTCCTAAGTCTACCATGAACTGAATGGCTTAAAACAACAGAAAGTTATTGTCTGACAGACAGACCTAAAGGCCAGAAATCCAAGACCAAGGTGTTGACAGGCCCATGCACTATCTGAGGATGTTGAGGAAGCACCTAAGTGTTCCTAGCTATACTGGTAGGCTCAGGTGTTCCTTGGTTAGTACCTGCCCCTCACCAATACCACCTCTTCTCCCTGCATGTCCTCAGCCTCTTCCCTCTGTGTCATATCCATGTTTCCTCTTTTTATAGACACTGGCCATATTGAATTATGGTCCACCCTACTGTTCTCATTTTAACTTGATTACCTCTATAAAGATGATCCTTCTGAATTGGGTTGTACTCTGAGATACTGGGAGTTAAACAACTCATTAAATATAACATCCTCCTTCAAAAGTATCTATCCTATAAGACAGTTTGAAAAAAATGAATCCAAGATGGAAAAGCACATTCACATTAAGGATAAGCTGGATTTAAAGAGAACAGCTTTACATCAACCTTTGATTTTGACTCATCCAGGTGAAACGCAAGCTTTGTTGAGTGCATAAAAGATTTACAAATATTTATTTGTTTTTCAGTCACTTGCTGCCACCATGCACAAACATGATTAAGATGATTGCATTTTTTATATCATTTCCTCATGTCTTCTACTTTGCTCTGCAAGTTCTTTCTACCATCATATGGCATTCTTGCTGCATGAGAATATTATGAAAGGAAGACCTGTGAGTTCCTCATATGCTTATTTGTATGCTCTGCTTTTCTTTTCTTTTGAAATAATCATCGTATTCTCATGAACAATAAGGATAAATGTGAGTTTTGTGATTGCTCTAGTTTGGATGTTGAATGTCCCCCAAAAGTCCACATGCCAAATGTTGGGTCCCCAGGTTGGCACTATTGGGAAATGGTGGAACCCTTGGGAGTTGAGGCCTAGTGGGAGTTATTTGGTCACTGGAAGCATGCCTATGAACAGGATTTGGGGACCCTGGTATCTTCCTCTTTCTTGCTTCTTGGTTTATGATGTAAGTGATTTTGCTCCACCTATACCCCCCAATATTGCATCTACACACCCCCACCAGAGGTCCAAGGCAATGGAGTCACTTTATCATAGACTAGAACCACCAAGACTATGAGCTAATTAAGGTGTTTCTTTTATAAGTTAATAAACTCAGTTACTTTTTTTTAAACCGCATCAGGAATCTAACTTACACAGTGACTGAATAGATTCCCTCTGGTTGGAAACAAAAGGCATTGATCATTGAGTTAATAGAAAGTGGAAGGGAATTTCCTTCCTTCAAGCTGAAGAGTTTAGTGTCTACACTGTTCATTGACACAGAAAAGGCGTTGTTTAAATCTGTAATGATACAGACCTGAGAAAAATAGCTATCATAAGGAATTACAGAAAATAAAACACATGCCATTCTCTGGGCACGTGTTATATGTGACACCCAGCCACACACCTGTGATAGGAAAGAGTTTACCAAATGAAGGAAAGTCCTTTGGTGCCAAGATGGGCGAGAGAGGTGCTGATCCACAGATGTCAATATGATCTCACAGACTGGGCAATAGGCTGTAGTCAGGGTTGGCAGATGACTAAGCTCAGCTTGCCTGGCTTCCACTCCATCTTCTGGACATCTTCCTTCCCAATCCTTATCAGGGAATTTCCATCAATCTGCATGCAGGAGGTGGCTCCAGTTCCAGGTGGAAAGCATGTAGCATCTCCCTTAGCCACTTGCCTCACGGCCCACACTCAGGTGCAGAAGTTTGAGCCCAGGAGCCACAGGCTTCAGCTCTACTGGCCGGATTTCATCACTGAAAGTAAAGAAACAAGAATAGGGGGCATCTCTGCATATCATGCAGAGAGATCTGGGGTTGTTCAATTCAAAGAAGAGAATGTCTGGGGAGAAATACTGACCGCAAGTATCTGAGGAACTGCTATGAGGAAGAGATCGTAAAAGTAGAGATTAGTTGGGGATGGAATAATAAAAGCAATAATGCAGACAATAAAACTGGAAATGCATTATGCATGCACTCTGTGACAGACCCTCTACTCAGTGCTTTACAAGCATTTTCCATTTAATCCTCACCACAACCATGTGGGGCAGACAGAGTCGAAGAAAAATTATTCTGACCCC